AAAGAGTGATGACCGACCAGCTTCCTTTGTGATCTGCAGAAGGCCCCACTTTGTTTTGGAGCTGCAGGATAACACCATCTATCAACCCCCTCTCCTCTTAAAAAAAAAGCCCAATGTGCCATGGCTTCAGCACGTCTGAATTGCGTTGGAATTGCATCATTAATAGAGCAGAAATGAGTCCCAGCAACTCCAAGAGAATACATTGACCCCTGAGGGAGACTAGAAACAAGACATTGTTTTTACAGGATGAATATCTACAGTAACTAGAGGTCCCATTACCACATCATCAATATACAGCAGCAAGTGAGGAGAGAAGGGAGCTGAAAAGGAGAGGAGAGGAGGGAACGTAATGGTTTATAGTGCTAATAGCAGTCTGAGCACTCAAGTCCCAAACATTCAGCTGCCTCGTCTCATCTGGGCTGTGTAATTGCCCTCCTGGAAGCTGCCACAAGAAGAGGCTGCCTTCGGAGTGAAGAGTGGCAGCTGCTGGTTGTTGAGGAGCAGAGACCTAGGTCAGGATCCCAAGTAGGGCACCTCGCAACCAGGAGATTAATTAATAGTTAGCTGGTGGCCCAGGGGCCAGTTTAGGTTGGGTGCGCTGGGGGTATGGATTATTTAGATAAAGTGAAGCTAAACATAAGGTTTTTCTGCACTTAACAAAGGCTACACTTCCCAACACTTTGCCTGTAGCGGGTTAAATCCTTGGAGCATCCCACCTTTTGCTTTCATGGAGTCATTTTCCCTTGTTAATAGTAAGTTTCCTTTCTGTATCTGAACGTAGATATATTTCTGTGGTGTACCATGGGAAATTATTAGTCCTTGGGGACCAGCGTTCTCCCTTGTTAAGTAAATATACATGAGCTGCTGTGTAAGAAACAAGCTGCAAGCACCTTCACAAAAATTTGTTACTGCAGCTTCCCTCCTCCTCCCATTCTCGCTAACGTGTCGCCCCGGGGGCAAATCTCACTCCGTCTCATCTGCTGCTTAATTTCACTGGAGCGGCCCTCGGTAATAAAGCGCCTTGATGTACATTTGCCAATTTCTGCCTCCGCCACATCGACATAATTGGGATGTGACTAAGCATGAATACCCAGCACAGGGTTGGTTGACCTCTGGATGACCTTGCGAATAGTGCTTTTGTCATAATGGTGGTATTATCTTACATAATCTGGGTATGGAGGGAGATTGTCTGCAGGGTGCCAGCGATGGAAATGAATTCATGTAACTCACTGCTCTGGTGCACCACAGAGGGCGTGATGAAAAAACCGTGAGATGCATTTTTTTACATGCTCATAATGAAGACATTTTCCTCTTATCTGTTGTTTCTTTGTGTTTATTAGAGTAGGAGAGCAGCTTCTGGCAAAAGCAGGGGTGGCATTTCAAATTTTTTATGTTTTTTTTTTATAATTTTTTTTAAGGGAGTGAGTTTTGAAGCTTGACAGGATTTCTCAGTGTGTGAGTCTAAGTGTGTGTGTATCAGTCACTTCCCTGCGTGGGTGCACAGTGTATTCACATGTTGGTATGTATGTGTGTCTGTTAATGACCCTGTAAAATGACAAGCAGAGCTGGCAGTGAAAGTACAGCCGCTCGTCACTGACAGAGAGAAGGTGGAGGAGGCAGGAGAGTTCAGGACGGGGAGGGAGCGGGCGCTGCGAGGTCGGTGGTTGGTGTGATTCACCATGTTGTCATCAGAGAGGGACCGAGGCCCCTCGGTGGCCCTTTCTATTCCCACCTGAGAGGCCTGCAAATGGAGGGGCCGCACTGTCATTATTTACAGCCCGCAGCTCCTAACCTTGGATTCGGAACTCATCGCTGCAAAAGGAAAATCAGATTGGATTTGACGTGTACCCAAGCCAGTGACCTTGATAAGTGTGAGGTGCCTGCAGCAAGGGGTTAGGGAAGACGAGTTCAGATTTGCTCGTGTGTGTGTGTGTGTGTGTGTGTGTGTGTGTGTGTGTGTGTGTGTGTGTGTGTGTGTGTGTGTACACGTGTTTGTGTTTCAACCAGGTGGAAAGCTGGAGACACGGTTGAATCATGACTCAAGATGACACATGGGATGACTGCTCCTGGACTAAGACAGAGAGGTCAAATGTGACATTATCTCTTCTTTTAGCTCAAATAAATCAAAATTTTAATAAAATACAAGGTTATTTCATCCAAACATTACTTCTTGCAACGCAGCTTAAAAAAACATGACCAATGACCTTTTTAAAATCCTAATAAACCACTTATTAAATGTTAAAAACTTCTAAATTTACTTTAAAAAACATAAATATGTGCCCATTTTTTATTTGATGCCTTGAACACAATCCAAAAGGTCTATAATTGCATCTCATTGCTAATTAGGCTACTTGGCAACAGGTTAGGGACAGAATTGGAGTTTCAGAGCTCATTAAGGAGAGTGAGAGACATGCCACTCTGTGAAGTCAAATACTAAACATGTCTTTCATGTTAAAGTGCTGAAAGAGTTTAATGGATCCTCTACAGAGCATTAAAATATCATCAGCACAACCACTGTTTTCATAAAAATCACTGCATAAGTGTACACTTAAAAAAACAAAAGTTTAAATGTATCATGCAAAACAATAAACCGACAGATGAAGGTGCATTTGGAAAGCTAAAACCGCACATTTCTTTTAGACATCTGTGCCATTAAAGATAAAAAACTTGGGACTAGCCTGATACCTGTGCAAAATTTACTAAACTAGCACCTGTGATGTTTCTTGTAACTGCGTTTTGTTTACTGCTGAAACACATCATGCATGTAACAAAACAGCAGTGATTGAAATTGTAGCAGTCTGAGTGTGCCCTGTCCTGAAAATACTTCTTTCTTTGGAAAGAAAATTGTGGCAAAAGAATATTTTAAATTTTAGGAAGTCCTTATTATCAACCAGGAGTCAGACAATAAAAAAGAATAATGCTTAAAACGTTATCACTTTGTGTTCTTCTGTGGCGATGCACCAAAGTGGTAAATATGCTTCGATCTCAACTTTGAATTATTTTTATCAACAGTTTGAAAATTAGATGTATTTGATATAGCGCTTTCTAGTGTCCTGGAACCCCCCAAGGTGCTTTACAACACAATCAGTCATTCACCCATTCACACACGCACGTTCACATGCTGGTGAGGATGAGCTACATTGTAGCCACAGCTGCCCTGGGGCGCACTGACAGAGGTGAGGCTGCCGAGCACTGGCGCCACCGGTCCCTCCGACCACCACCAGCAGGCAATCAAATGCATTGATTGATTGATTGAATCGTTTATTTTCACAACAGTTGATCAAATAGATACTTTTCTACACAACGTCATGCTATTATGTGATAATTTCATTGTTCTAACAATATCATTTTCATGTTCTTACAACTTACAACAATGTTGTTCAAACTGAAAAAGTGTATTTTGTTAGAACAATAAAATGATCACTCTAATTAAATTTTGTTATACGTTTCCATAATTTTTGTTAGTTTTGTGGTAATAATAATACTTATTGTAGTTGTTTCTATATTATCTTTTTATATTTTATCATTTGGTTCTTGGCTTTCGTACAACAAAAGTGAAACTCGTGGTTGCCACTGAGTCTTTGACTTGTTCACAAGTGATGGTAGGTTGCAGTGAGAGAGGGATCAATGGATGTGATCGTATTCATTTTACTGGTCCGTCTAAAGTCTGACCCTCATATATGACTTGAACAAGATCCCACGTGCAAAAGGCTAAAATGGGCTTTCCCTATTGAGTGGCTGGGTTTAGTGGTAAAAAGAACAGCTCCATCATCTGGAGTGAGCCCAAAGTAGAGACGCTGCTCCTCCTCAGCAAACAGTCAGCTGAGATGTTTCAGGCATCTGACTTGGCTACCTCCTGGTCTGAGTAAGGAGGAGGAATTCCCTGGCAGACCCAGAACTCACTGTGATTATTTATCCTCTCTAGCCTGGGAACACCATGAGATCCAGGAGAAGCTGGAGCGTGTTGCTGGGGCTGAAGAATATCTTCTGTTAGCTCCACAACCGGACCTTAGAAGGATGGATGTTTTTAGAAGAAGTCATAAAATCCATCCTGATTAGCTATTTATTCACAATTATTCATAGACTAAAAGCACTTATGAGCTGTGTTTTAATGACTAAAAAAATGTTTCTAGACAGATTGAGTACAGGTGAAACTGGAAAAATGAGAATCTGGTGCAATAGTCCATTTATGTCAGTAATTAGACCGAGAGACCATCTAAAGGCTCAGGAACCCTTTGCAGGCGTTCTGGGTTCATTAGATGAGTAGAGTGTGACACTATGAGACTAGAATATTGAACCTTTTCACAATATTCTAATTATATGAGATTTAGAATGTGAGGTTTCCCTAAGCTGTAAACCATAATCATCACAAATAAAGGCTGAAATATCTGGATTTGCATGTAATTCATTTGTCTCATGCATTAGTTAAACATTTTAAGTTGAATCACTGAAATAAACAAACTTTTACAGCACATTCTCATTTTTCGAGTTTCACCTAGTTATCTGAAGACCAGGATGGAGGTGGGACATAACAAGGGGACAACAGGACGAATGATGAAAATGCATTTTTCTTCCACTACAGAGATGCTATTTGGTCGCGTGAAATGATTAATTTCACACGTATACAGGTCATCTCCAAAAGCAGCAACATCTCATTCACAAGGGGCCCCTGTCAGCAACAAAGCAGGAGGCTGCAATAAAATAAGCACACAGCAGCACGTCAATAAATCTTTGGAGGTTAAACCTGAGCGCTGTAGAATTTGAGCAGCCCCTGTTCTCCCCTCGTCAGGTAAAAGTCACTGAGTACATCAACACCAGGCAGACCAGTGAGCAGTTCAAGGGAGTGTCCTGTGGCAGTGGGTACAAACTCACACACTCTGTGTTTGCATAAGGATGAAGCCTTAAATTATTGGGTTTGTGTAAATAAGGAGATGAGACTGTTTTTAGCATGCAGGAAGGAGGAGTGCGTGGATGAGAATAGTCTCTCTGTGTGCTGTGGAGTTGGTTTGGGGTTGTTTACGACAGCTCAAAGCTCTCATATATCACAAGCAGAATGTTTGCTGTGAAGCTACAGTTTGCGTGCCATCTGCCTTAGCAGAACTTGACCCTTCAAACAGACCTACATTTTGTACACCACGCTTTTCTGTAACTCTCTTTATCTTCTCTTTCCTAGTGGATGATCCAGAAACCACACAAGGTGGCTACCTTCTTCGGATGCATCGGTAAGGATCACTTCGGTGAGATCCTGAAGAAGAAGGCTGAAGAAGCCAACGTTGATGCTCGTTACTACGAGCAGAACGAGGAGCCGACTGGTACCTGTGCAGCCTGCATCACAGGAGACAATAGGTTAGCATCCTTTAAATGTTGGCTAAAGTCGTAGATTTATTTCAGTATGTTGCTTGTTTTCAGGTTCACTTTCTATGTAGAAGGCTAGGTCTATTCCGGGATTCTGGAGAGGAGGGTCCGGCGGATTGTCAAACCTCGGATTCAGGAGGAGCAATGTGGATTTCGTCCTGGTTGTGGTGCACTGGACATGCTCTATACCCATAGGGGGATCCTGGAGGGTGCGTGGGAGTTCGCCCAACCAATCTACATGTGTTTTGTGGATTTGGAGAAGGCGTTCTGCAGCGTCTCTCGGGAGGCCCTTTGGGGAGTACGTTGGGAGTATGGGGTACCAGGCCCTCTGACACGGGCTGTTAGGATCCCTGTATGACCGGTGTCAGAGCTTGGTCCGCATTGCCGGCAGCAAGTCGAGCTCATTCCCAGTGAGAGTTGGACTCCACCAAGACTGCCCTTTGTCACCGATTCTATTCATAACTTTTATGGACAGGATTTTTAGATGCAGCCAAGGTGTTGAGGGGATCTGTTTTGGTGGCCTAAAGATTGAGTCTCTGCTTTTTGCAGATGATGTGGTCCTGTTGGCCTCATCAGAACGTGATCTCCGGCTCTCATTGGAGTGGTTCGCAGCCGAGTGTGAAGCAGCTGGGATGAGAACCAACTGAAATGTAACTAAACTTAGACTTAAATAGAGGCTAGAGTTGGTTATCAAAGTGGCAAAGGATACCCGTAAAGAGTAATCTACCGGCGTCGTGAAGTGGTCTCTCTGGCTGACGATGAATCTGCTGCAGCTGGTCCCGTTCAGACACCGCTCACCTGGAATGAATACTAGAAGCTGATTAAAGGATGAGCTCACCTCAGACCATGACAACGGCCCATGTTGGCTGGGCCCGTACAGGAGCCGACCGGCTGTCTGGTGCATTCTTTACTTTCCTAGTGAACTCTTATTTGGTGCCATATATCTTCTTGGTTGTCCCATATTTTGTACTGAAATGAACAATAAGAAAACTGAACGTAATCTATTAGATCAACCCATAATCTCTGTGATTGTGCTGCTCAGTTACAATGGCGATGTCACGTTGAACACGTTTAGAAGAAACAAAAATAATTTGGAGAAGTAGATGTGGGAGAGGGGCAGCTGTGGCCCAAACACACAACAACGTGAGTCCCAACAGGTGGAGCCTTGGTTCTGATGAAACCTGAGAACCCAGGCTGAATGTAGAGGAAGGTTTGGAAAGGATAGTATTTGAGGTCAAGCCTGTAATTTGATCTGGGTTTAAAAGGACAACTGGAAAAAGCTATTTCTAATTTCTTAGAACATTTACTCACTTCCTCTTGCATGTCCACTTGACTTCTAATGCTGGAATATTAATGTCATGAAGGACTCAGGAGTTCAAACCTGACTGTATGAAATTCTAGTCCAAACTTTTTCATACCTAAAATTGATAAATAAATATTTTGTGCATGTGGGTAAGATTATATATGAAAATATAACCGCCTCTCATTACAGGGGTTCAGGTCCTGATTTATCCTGTAATTCACCATATGGATTTAAGTCATTTTGCTTAATTTTCACCTCTTTAGGAAGTCATAACAGAGAGTCATCGCTAAGTTCACACATCATAAGAAAAAAGAACAGCATGAGCTTGTTGTTCTAGGCCTCCGCTCAGTCTCTGATGCCCCAGCGAGTTGTCATCCAACTATAGGCTGACAGTAGCAATGTGTCAAGAGTTTCCTGGGCTACCCCAGTTCTCACCTGTCAGCCTCCTCGTCTGGTAAGAAAAGGGGCTTTAATGTCTCTGGTGACTCACTCCTGCATCATCATCATCAGCACATCTGAGACAGCTGAGGTCAAACACAGCGCTGATACTCACAAATATCACTAACATTAAAGGCTGCGGTTCATGATAGGCCAAGTGTCGATCAATACGCTCCTTCTCTAAACACTCCTCGCCTCCGCAACCTTTTATCCACACGGATGCTGCAGTTGTCAGTCAGTCAGCTGCTGGACCCTGACCACCCTGGGAGCCGGCCCCGGTGAATGGTCTTAGTGGGCTTGTTTGATGTGGGTTCTGACACCTGAAAAGGTCAGGTGCCGTGCTCAGGGAGGAGAACTCTGCAATATTTCTTACAGGTGTTTAACAGACAGCTCGGGAGGCCTGAAGAAAGGTCGTTGGCAGGGCTAGATTGGAAAAGTGATGGCTTTGAAGGACCAGGGGGGCAAACATGTCACAGTCTCTCAGACTTTGATTAGTTAATGTCTTTAAAAAATTCAACTTCCCACATTCAAATCTGGGAGTGTGAGTTCATATTACCTTAAGAAAATGCGTGGTAAATCACATTTAGTCATTGAAATGCACATTTTTTTTTCATTTTCATGTTTTCAATCAAAGGTACAATCAATCAGCCTCTCCAGGATCTCACACTTTGTGATTGCAGCCCAAAATTTAACATCTACTTTTCAATTAAAAAAAGCATAAAAATTCATTAAAACTGATCTAATTGAACATAATAATTTCATAAGTTTTATGGGCTGATTTCAATCAACTTGAGTGCTGGCTAATTGTTACTGGAGGATAATCAGTCGTCAAAACCGTTATTTTCACCAGAATCACAAGAATTATGAAGATTGAACCGTGACTTTTTTATTGCTTTACTTTAAAATATAGAAAATAACTCCAACCATCAGCTGTTTTAAAGAAAAAGTTACGCCTTAAAAATAATTAGAATAATTTGGGAAAAGTTTTATATTTTGTGTCAGTCACTTCAGAAAATTAATCTCATGTATAGATTTGTTACTCAGTCTTTATTTCTTGCATTTAAGTGGATTTTTTTACTTAAATATAAGAAACCCCGAAATCATCCTAATACAAGAATATTAGAATATGGTGAAAAAGACAAATAATGAAACTCAAGGTGTCTCATCCAGCTAATTCACTCCTGCAAAGGTTTCCTGAGCCTCTAAATGGTCAAACTGGGTCAGTACACAATCATGGGGAAGACTGTTGTCTGGATAGATGCCCAGGAAACAGTCATGGACACCCTCCACAAGGAGGGGATGCTACATGGAGAGCTGAGTGGAGGGCAGCAAGGAGAACCATAGCCTTAAGAGGATTGTGAAGCTAAGTTTGTTCAAGGATCTGGTGGAGTTTCACCAGGAGTGGGTGGAGGCTAGAGTCGGAGCATCAAGAGCCCCTATTCACAGACCAGTCCCACACATGGGCTACAAATGTCACACTCCTTGTTTCAAACTGAAGCAGAGACAACATCAGAAGCATCTCATCTTACCTGGAGCAACGAGAACAAGAACCAGATTGTTGCTCAGTGGTCCAAAGTCTGCAGGTTATTTGTAAATGAAGGTCCCAAAGGCTACGTTAACACTGCAGGCCTTGATGCTCAATTACAATATTTTTTGAGTAAATCAGATTTTTTTGTGTCGCCGTTCACACTCTGACTGAAATGCGACATCAAACTCTCTCCAGAGTGAACGCTCCACGGCCCCAAAGGGACCCGCATGCGCAGAATACAAGAAGTCACATTCGGTGGAGCCGAAACCAGGAGCGGCAGAGTTGTGATGTAATGCTAATCCTGTTGAGAAACTATCAGTGAAAACTTTCACATCTGTTAATTCTTCCATTTTGGGCTGGAAACTGTTTTAAAAACTGTAAACTATTTTACTCCTAGTTCCCCCCGTCTCCCTGAATTATTATTCACCAAAAATGTTCCGGGACTAATTCTTTCACAGAGAACCCCCCTCTCACGGATTTGAAAAAAAAATCTGATCTGTGCCGTTCAGACTGTCATAAAAATATCAGATATGGGTTGCATGTGGGGAAAAAAAGCAGATTTGATGCGTTTTTGCCTGCAGTGTGAACGTAGCCATAATGTACCAGCTAATGTCATGGTGTACCTCTTAGCCAATAGTGATAGCAGATTTAAATTCAAATGCAGTGCAGAGTTTTTACCTGAAGAGGGCACAACACTGACAGTTTTAGGCAGAATATTAAAATTTTAACTAAGATGCACTAAAGTGCCAAATTATTGACTACATATGTGTTCAGCAGAATTAGACACTCATATAGTTTATCAGCAAAAAAAAAGGTTGATTTTGGGGCGACTTGCTCTTTAAGAAGAATTCATTTAGATGCTGAAGGGTGAATTATTAAAGAAAACAGATGTGTGAATTCTTCACTGGAAACCTCTTATTCAAAGTGGTGGGGACGAAACTACCTATATCTAATAGTGGTGGGGACGTGTCGCCTGCGTCCCCAGCTAAACTGACGTCTTTTAGAGAACAGGCCTCACCTCCGTCAGTGCGCCCCAGTGCAGCTGTGGCTACATCGTAGCTGTGTGTGTGTGAATGGGCGAATAACAGATTGTGTTGTAAAGCGCCTTGGGGGTTGTAGAACCCTAAGAAGGCGCTATACAAATACGGACCACTTACTGTTTACCATTTTAGTGTTTTCCGAGTTTGAGCTACCAGCCCAGACAAGCAGAGTTCATTTAGCCTCATGCATCAATATAATCAGGAAGTGGATTTTTGAAGATATTTAGGTTATTATTGAATAATTATTATTATATTCATTAGCACTGAAAATAAGTCAAAACTAGCCTTACTTATAGAAGGACAGATGGACAGATAGAGATTCATCAGACAGAATTAAACATTGTTTATTTTTTGTTGAGTGGTTTTTATGCCCAGTTATTGTAATTTTTACTCATTAATTTTATGAAAATTTGAATTCCAGTTATTTTCAAGCGAGCCTTTACTCCTATATTGTAAAACTTTCGTAAATGTCCCTGGATGGCAGCTTTTTGAAGTGACTGATCAGCGCTTTTCTTCCGACTGGCTAACAGCGGCGCTTTGATACGACCTTTTTAACAGTATCATATCATCAGATCTGTTTGTCCTTTCAGCCTGCCCTTCTGCGCTCATATCTGTCGGACTCCCTCAGTAATGACACTCATTTTGCCTGTCATGTTTGTCCCAACCTTTGAGTCCATTACCGCCACTCAGGTCAAACGCAGTCCCCCGTCCTGCTGTCACATCGCAGCCCTCGTCACCACACTCTGATCAACTTAGCACGCTGCTGCTCTTCTCCCTCTGACACTAACCGTGTGAGAACAGACCCCTTCCTGCAGCAACACCCTCCTGTTGTATGATCGCCTAACAGTTTCCCCCTAAGTAGCTATGATGGGTGCACTCATTTTGATGGCCGCTCATAAAGAGAAAAGAACACGAGGACGGGCTAATGAGCTATGTTAAGATAATGCCACCTGCTTCACTTTCCATCTCCCTCTACTCTCTACTCCACTAAAGTGCTCATTTAGTAATGCATTTTTGTTGTTTTTCAACCGTCGTTAACAACGAGCCACTTCTCCCGGTGATATGATTATGTGAATAATTCGAAGGCGGCCTGTTGTTATTCCCAAATATCTTATTTTGATGTCTAGTGTTTTTAGATAACCCGTTTTTTTTAAAAGAAAGAAAGAAAAATAAAGACATCCAGACAATTTTATTTCACAGTGTTTCAGACACTCAGAAACTATTATTATCCTTTTTTTATATCGCCAAAGCACAAAGGAAATTCTGCAGCCTTTGTGGGTTATTTTAAAGATGTTTTTGAGACAAAATTAAGATGGATGATAAGCGAGGTGGAAGATTTATGGGGTCTGTCTCGGCAGGTCCCTTGTTGCTAACCTGGCAGCGGCAAACTGCTACAAAAAGGAAAAACACCTGGACTTGGACAGCAACTGGGAGCTGGTGGAGAAAGCCAAGGTCTATTATATTGCGGTAAGTGAGACCCTCTGCCTCCAGAATGACTGTTCCCAAACTCTGTTAGCCAGGAGGAGGACAAAATGTTAAGAGGCTTTATTTAGGAAGTGCCTCAGCACGCCTTCAGCATTGTCAATATATCCATTCATGCTTTGTTGAATGAAATGAGCTCTGTTACCTACTGAGACAATACAGCTCCATTTTCCCTGTTTTGCCCTCGTCATTGTGCATGAATCTGCAGCGCAGTGTGAAATTGTTCAACATGTAATGTATTCATTCATTTCTTTTAACACGGGGACAAGCCAACAGGTGCTGCCTAAGTGTGAAAATTGATTATGCAAGTTCGTTCGGCTTTCCCCCCACCTACACATTCTTCCGCTCTCAGACAAAACACACAGATGGAGGGGGACAGATGTGTGTGGAGACGCACACCCCAAGCTGCACCACTGAGGCAATGTCTTCACTTGCAGCTTCTGGACATGGATGGCCCACCATTCTCGTGTTTCACTGTTTGGGATTACGTTTAATTCTGGCAGATCAACGGTTTCTCTCATCTCAAGTCAAGGTGATAGCCCTGAAATTGTGCTGCATTCCACGTCTTTTAAGGAGTTCATTATTGGCATAAATCAACGTTACAGCCTAGGCGTCAACACAATCCTTGGGATATTGTCCCAAGTGAAATCCTCAGTGCTTCCTTGATTGGCCACTAGCCGTGCAAACGTGGTGCATCATAAACTGCATCATAGTGCTGAAACACCCAACGTAAATAAATAAAATACAATGAAACGTGGTGCCAGAAAGCAGATCGGTCTGTGCGTCCTCCGACTTTGTGTAGTCCCATTTATTAAATTATTTTTTGCAGATACCGCCGTACATTAGCAAACATGGCACGTCCTCTGCAAATTGGCAGTTGGGTTTTGCCCACATCCGACAGTCTTATGCACAGGGAAAAGCTTCCGTGGGATTTGAAGGGGGGAATTAGAAGGGCCACAAATGGGTGTTTGTGAGTGCTTGGAATCTAAAATGCAGCTTTCAGCGTGCCTCCTGGGCCTCTTTGTCCAAACAGGGAGGATCATTCGCTTTATTAGAACCCCATTGGCACTTTTAAAACTACTTATACAGACCCAGCGCTAGCGCTTCTCCCATCTAATATAGTATGGCGTGTCTAGACCAACGTACACTAAGGCCTTCTAGCTCCATTTGTCGAGAGCACTTGGATGTATTTACCTAATTTACAGCCAGATTGTAAATTTTTCACCCCTGCTGCACTAACCTTTTCTGTGTATTAACGTGCTCCGTTGATTATTTTTTATGAAACCACCGCTGGGTTGGTTTGCGGTCGTGTACGCTCCGATCTTCAGATTTAATTACCAGGAAGTGCACACATGTGTACGTTAGCATGTTACTCGCTCTCACATGTGTCGGCGTTTGTCAGAGCGCGTGTGCTAAGGGGGTGATTGATGAATCCTGGCAGAGACTCTCAAGGTGCCTGCTATGATGTGGTGTGATTGGATGAAAACAGAATTATTAGAGGACTCTTTGCTGCCAGACTGGCTCATCCAGCAGCGGCGGCAGCAGGGCTGGTGGCAGACGCAGAGCGGGGAGGCAGCATTGCCATTTCTCACAAAGAGAGAGAATGTTGAACTCCTGCCAAATGTTTTGTGGCAGGCTGTTGCTAGGAAATCTGGGTCCTTAGGCAAATCATCGCACGAAGACCAACAACAAAAGGCGAGGAGAAGGAATGGCTAAACACGTTTTAGGCACATCTCTTTCGTTTTCTTTAACTCGAATGCCATTCCTGCTCTGGTGATGTGTGCAGTTATTTCTCACTGTGACGATTGTAAACATCAAAAATGGAGGTTTTGTAAGATGATGAGTGACTAATTGGTCAGGGGCTGATTTGTGCATGCTGGCCCAGTTAGCCTCTCTCTTTTCCCATTTTTATGTTGCTCCCTCTTTTCCTCCCCCCTCTTGGCCTTCTGTGGACACCCCCTCGTCCTCCTCCTCCCTCTCCCTTTGCCTCCCCCTTTCTCTCATCTCTCAGACACACATACATTTGCTGTTAAACACTCACAGCGTGCACGCACACATTCTGCAGCATACCACTGGCTTGTTTTTCTTACCACTGAGCGCTTTGCCCTGTAATTTGATCTCCACTGCTTGATGCATCCTCTATAATGCCACTTCGAATTAACCCATGCCTCCACGGCTCTCCTTGGCCCCTGCTAATAAAATGGCCTCGACTAACTTAGTCCATTTACATTTACAAGAAAGGAGAAAAATATGACTCCATCCAATGGCAACGCGCAATGTAACTAACAGAAAATCGAGACGAGGAACAAGACAATTGACTGTGAAAAGGCCTGTTAATGACTGGGCACAGATGGTCAGAAAATAACCCAAGGATAGACGGAGGAGACACTTGCCTCTGCCAACTGGCCTGGTACACAAACCTCAACCAATGAGGCACAAGCTGCACAGTAGTTGGGTCACAAATCTGATCACAGCTGTTCGTTTGTGCCCTATGCTAAGAGTGCAATCACCGTTGGCTTGCAAGAGGTTAACCACGCCTGAGGAAATCTAGCTAGCCCCTGTGCCTCTTTTTTTTCTTCCCTTTTTTCATTTTTTCAAACAGAGTAGCAAGCTGAACCAGAATGCCTCACACTGTTAACACTGGCACGCTGTCTGTAGCATTAATTGGCAGTTGTGTTCTTGCCCTCACTGCAGGGGAAAGCTGAATTCAGCTTCAGTCACTGTAGCGTAATATGCGATGGGAAAAAATGCAGAGAAAAGGAAGGAAAAAGCAGGAAAGAAAAGCGCAGCACTGGCACCAGAACGCCAGCCTGCTTAAACCCCAGAGTGGAGCGCGAGTAGTACACACACACACATACACATGCACACACACACACACTCTTACTCCACCCCAGCAGCCCTCTTCTTTTGCAGCCAAAAAAGCAAAAGGAAAGGTTTTACACACACACACACACACACACACACACACACACACACACACACACACACACACACACACACACACACACACACACACACACACCTGACACCTCATCAGCCAGCCGAAGGGCTGATTAGCACAGAGGTGACTGCGGCTGCGTCTGCGTCCAACTCAGAGGACCACACCGTCCTCATGTTGACCTTGAGAGTCTCTCTCTTTCCTGTCTTCCACTTTCCTTCTGCACTCTGTTCTTTATCTCCAATGTTCCTCCTCTTTTCTGTCTCCATCTCTCCTTCCCGCCTCTCCCTTTCTTTCATTTCCCTCTTTGCACTGCACCACTCTGCACTGCCCCTGTCCTTCCACATAAGCAGGGAGGGATCATGAGGCAAAATGCAGACATGGGAGAGAAGAAAGAGGGAGGGAGGATGAGGGAAGTAGATTGTTAGAAAAAAAACTGGCAGGCTCCCCCTTTGTCTGCAGGCGATCAGTTACAGTCTTGGTTGCCGATGAAATTTAATCCTCACCACATTTACATGCCAAGTTTGACTTCTGGCAAGCCCTATTAAAGAGATTTGTAAATCATTTCATCTTGATTAGAATCTGTTCTCAAGGGATTGTCATTTTATTTATTTTTTTTGCCTTGCTTGTCTTTTTGTTATGTGTTTGGTCAATGCCTACTTAGTGTTAAGGTTTGTGAGTCAACATTTTGTTTTTTGTGCTGGTGTGTGTCTAAGCAGTAGATTTTTGGAGACAGAGGGCAATGGGCGCCAAATCCCGTCTGTCACCAGCCAAGCCACTGTGTCAGCTCGTCTCTCATTTCTAGAGGTCGTGTTGGCGGCTGGGCCGCCGCTCTGATTTGCCTTCTCTTTATTAGGCTGACACCGCCGACTCTTTAACATGGAACAATGTCATTTCAAATTGCGCCTAATCAGATGGGATTTTGTAATTGCCAGCAAACATCTTATGAATATCAATTCATTATTGTTCAATTACAAGTCGACTGGATCGCATTCATTGGCTTATTATTACTTTTTTTCCCTCCTGATAGCCCGGGCCAATTATAGGATTCCAATCTTGAGGCAATCAAGGGATGAGGGTGAGGTGTTTAGTGTTTGCTGTCACTATATAATTCTCTCCAATGTTAAACATGCATCTGGGAGTGCTGCATTTGTCAGAAGGCTGTTCTTGCTGGTGCACCTGCATAATTGAGTGGTAATGAGCTGTCACGAGTGCGGGGCGCGGTGATTGGCTCATGGCGGGGCGTCCTGTGTCGGCGGGACATATAGGCTGGAGGATCAGCCAGCCACAGGGCCCTAAAGGCCTGAGTGGGCGCAGTGGGGTAAATTAGGGTGGAGAAGCCAGTGACACTGGCTGTGGAGACCTCCTGTGTCTTTCACTCAACTGTGGATTTTGTTTAGGTTGTTTACATTTATCTTTACTGCTTCATTTCAGATTTGGAGAATAAGTTCATGATGTTTGCTTTAAGTAACAAGAATACACTAAAAAGAGTATTATATATAAACATGTGTTCTGTTCTATGTCTATATTCATATATTTGTAGAAAAATACTCTTTTGTACAAATAAATGTAATTTTCTTTTATGTTCCCTAATTATCCCTTTGATTAGGGCAAAGCCCACATTTGCAATCAAGGTAATGAGCATGATTGCCAAAGTTTTTTTTCTTCTTCTCCTTTTTAGGGATTTCTACTCCAACATTAAAACTAGGAATGTTTACCATTGATATCAGCCAACAGCTGCATTAAAATTAAATATTGGAAAATATTGGCATCAGTTTTCAGGCTTAATGATCAACTTTTACATACCATACACACATTATACATCCAACTCTTCAGCTACTTCTTCTCTCTTTCAAAATGTCAAAATATAACAGATCTGAGGTTTAATTTTTGAGATATTTTAGTTTTCTTGACACAACTTGTGAAGTAGAAATTTGCCCTGTGTAGTGAACGTACGCTGTCCTCACAGAGTGAGGCTAGACAGCGAACAAACAAAACTTTATTTTTTGTTTTTAATTGTTTTATAAAAGAATAGAAAAAAACACATGACTAACCAATACACACATCTCAGTGTCACGCTTAGGGAGGATGAGATTCAGCTGCTGTTGGAGACAAAATAAATATGGCACTTTCCCTATTTCTTACTGAGCAAAACCAAAAGGAGAACACGCAAACAAAACAACTCAAACCAGTCCACACCGGGGCTCTTTTTTGGCACTTGGTTTTCTCAACAAGGAACGTTTATTTTGTGAAGGAAGTGCGCAACCACCAGTCAGTGATTCAGAGCACAATGGGTGAGTCTCACCGGCCCGACATTAGTGAGAGAAATGATTGTGCCAATGTAAATACCTCTCTGAGGGCAAAGTGAATCCACTTATTGTGAAGAAGTGAATGAATGACTTTGAGTTCTTTCCTGGTCTAAATTGATGCTGGTGAAGCTGTTTTCTTCCCAGTCATTGCAAGAATTACTGTCAAAGGTGTCTATATCTAAAAAATAACAGCAAAACGCTAAATACACGTCGAGATTAGCACACAGAAATGTAGAGTCATGAATGTCCTGTTTATGACCTAAAGGTCACGATCTGCTGCGTCTGCTCGAGCAGAGACATAAAGTCTCTGACAGGCTAATCTACATGAGATAGTGGCCAAGGTCTTTCATGCACTCTGTTCATCTGAACTGCTTCACCTTTGTTACCAAGATGAAGAGGAAGAACTATTTTGATAAATACATAATCAACAACTTTGTTATTACCAATAATAATGTGAGCCCAATGTTCAATCAATCTGTGAAATAACAATGTTATTACTTGATATTATAATCCTGTGATCAGTAGTATTTTACAAGTAATTATAATCTTGGACATTTGCACTAGACACTAATGACACGCATTGCTAAAGCCACATGACACATTTCCTTTTGTCTGACCCAATCGGAACCTTCGCATTCTGGCGCAAGGCCTGGTTTTCTGTGGTGTCTGTATAAACCCTCTTTTTCATGTCAAATTCTGATTCGCCAGTAAACCAAAATGTGATAGTTATAAAAACTATCCCACGCCACCTTTTCTTTAGTTAAAGCGTTCTAGAGAAGTCTCGTACAGGCCATCCGGACTTCCTCTTCAGCCAAAAGAACCTCGACAAGCTGGATAAAATCTGTTGCAAGTTACACCTGACTACAACGGTTCCTTCAGAATAAAAGCTGAACCTCACGACCCCTTCAGGGTCTCGGAGACGCCAGTGATAACCTGTCATTACCTGGAAGCATTCCAAGACTAGTTTGGTCGGCACCGCTGCTTTTCTACCGGCTTCGGTACCAAAGAGGGTCCAAGAGGACCTCAGCATTCTGGATCTAATCGGAGGTTCCCCTGGGGTACGTAGACCGACAGATGGCGTTTCATGTGTTATAAATCCCCTACTAAAGTTTAGAGCGAAACATTCATTCCCACTCAGAACGAACTGCTTCTCCGGATCCGCTGGTTCTGAATAACATTACACACACACACACACACCATCATCATTCACCACGTCTCACTCCACTTTAGTTCCATCAGTACACAGAGTGTTTAAGTTAGTCTTGTTTAAATTATGTAGAGATACATTTCTTAACTATTTTAAACCTGACTCTCTTTCCTTGGAGTTAATACTGTAAAGATTCGTTAGTTACATCTTAACTAATGACCCATAAAATGTGAGATTCCATAGGAAATATGAAATCAGTTTGGTGGATCTTTGATTATTACTTTAACCAGAAGATCGGAACTTTTTATTGCAGGGATTAGATAACACTTTGTATTAACCCAGAGACGAGCGAGAGAGAGAGTCAAGTTTTAAAGTTTAAGAAGATTTATTTCTAAACAATTTAAACAAGACTAACTTTAAACACTATGTGTATGATGTAACTAAGGTGGAGTAAGACTGAGGATGGTGTGTGTGTGTGAAATATGTTCAGAACCAGCAAATCTGGAGAGACTATTAGTTCTGAGTGGGAGTGAGAGGGTGTTTCGCTCTGAGCTTTGGTTTGGAGATTATAACATACATTGAGACGCCATCTGTCGGTCTACGTACCCCAACGGAAGTCCCCGTTTAGATCCGGAATGTCGGGGATCCAGCTTAGACCCTCTTGGAACCGACGCCTGTAGATATGCAGCGGTTGCCGACCCTCCAGTCTTGAGTTACTCCCAGGTCACGACAGTTTATTGGCGTCAGCGAGACCCTGAAGGGGTCGTGATGGTTCAGCTTTTATTCTGAAGGAACCGCTGCAACAGGTGGAACATGCAACAGATTTAATGCAGCTTGTCGTTAGGTTCTTTCACCTTTAAGAGGAAAGTTACGGATTTTCCACTCCGATAACTTCTCTAGAATGCTTTGAACTGAAGTTAAGATGACGTGGCGCATAGTTTTATAATTTGGATGTTTTGATTTACTGTCGAATCAGAATTTGACAACAAAAGGGGATTATACAAGCACCAACAAAACCACGCCTCGTGTCAAATCCGGAAGGTTCTGATTGGATCAGAAAAAAGAAATGTGACTTTAGCATTACGTGTGATCAGGCTAGTGTAAACATTTAAAGTTTTATTACTTATTAAAATACCATCATAGGATTATAATATGAAGTAATTAATATTCTCATTTCACAGATTGATTGAACATTAGGCTTCACATGATTATTTGGACTAACAGACGTTATTTAATTATTATTTAATAGAGTTCTTGGTCTTCTTTCTTCTTTCTTGTGCTGTAGGGGGAGACAAATAGCTAGTTAAAACAGTTTAGATGCAGAGGCATCAAAGGCCTTGAGCAATATCTCAAGGAGATTAGTTCTTCATGAGGAGGGAGGGGACATTACCTTTAGGTGGAGACAGTCATTCCATTCTGCCACAATACAAAGTGTCACTTAATCCTGCAATAAAATGTTCAGATCTTCTGGTTAAAATAGTCAAAGATCCATCAGATTGATATTTCATATTTCTATGGAATCTCACATTTTATAGTTCATAAGTAAGATGTAAACGACCCATTCTTTACAGAAACAATAAGGCAATATGATCTTATCCACAGAAGCAGCTGTTTAAATTAAAGCCCAGACCCTCCTCTTTACAACAATATAAGTACCATTACTATACCTGCAAAACTCACGAAGCAACGCAGCAGCAAAACAAAGCATAACTCATAAAGTCACAAGCATGAATTCAGTTTTACCTTTGCTGGTTTATGGTCATAATAATCCATGTTATAGTAAAACAATCCACACGGTTTGTGTAATCCTATATGTGCCAACGCCACTCTGAGCTGGCTCTTGACTGTTTTAAGCCTTTTTACCTGCTGGAGAGTGTTTACAAGTCTCAGATGCCACATTCCATTATTTTCCGGGGGTTGTCCTCATCTGATTGGTTAATATGAAAGCCTGTTGACAAAACTCAACAACAAGCGATTCTATTGGCTCAGAGTTCCTGGTGAACATTCTGGTCTGAGACTACAGCCCTCTACGCATGCTTCGGTCACAAACCTCAGTGCCCAAAGGCTCTCCTCTTCTTTGTATTGGAGGATGATCCAGCACGCATGCACCAGTTACAGTGAGAGCTACAGTAAAGATCGCTGCGCCCAAAAGAAACAGGAAAGACGTCACAAGATGACTCTGCCGTGGTAAAAGTGTGAGAGAACATTTTTAAACTAATGCAGATTGAACACAGCACTTGCAGTCTGTATGATGTATAGATCGCCTAGTTTAATTTTCACGTTTTATTTGTTCATATTTTACAATTCATATCTTCTGCTTCCTCTTCACGAGACTAGTGGGGCGGTGTCCTAGCGCCCCCCATGGACAAGCTGCCACTGCTTTGTACGCTTATCAGGGCAATAAAACACCTGATTACTCAACTTATTCATTCAACTTGAAACATCAAGTTTTTGCAAAGAAAAAATAAAAATGTCTGGAACTGTTTTCATAAAGAAGGTTTACATGATGTCAGAGTTCACATCGTTCCGTTAGGAGGAAACGTTCCCATCATACCAGATAGGCTCTATTTTTGTGCAGATTTGTGTCTTTGTTTGCTTTTCTTCTTCGTCAGAATTCCGTGTTGAAATACAAAGCTGGCAGAGCCGAGCTGGGTTTTTATTTCGGGAGGCTTTATTTACAATTAATAACTGGAACATTTTCTGGACTCTTGTAGGTTTCCAGACCCGTACTGCTTTACCAGCATGCTTCAACTTCTCCCTCTACACCCACATTACCTCTTAAAAACAGTTTTTCTCCTGCAGCAGGGAAAACACCATGTCCTCTCACCCCTAGATTACCGCGTGCATCTGCTCCACCAGCAGCAACCCCTGCTTTCTGCTGGATGAAATAGTTCAGACTTTAATGGTATTTCTGCTCGCCGTCACCTTGTCCCCTCGTTCCCTCTGCTTCAAAGCCTCCGGCATATGTGTGCCTCTTTATTCATGAAGTTGTAAAACACCGAATAATGTTTCAGTGGGAGTTTGTGGCCGTTTGTGTGAGTTCCACGGCTTAATTGAATAGCCTGAGTAATTATTTGTCAAGTAATGCTGAGCAGAAAATAAATAGCCACTTTGCGGCTGTGAATTGTGCCTGATAGCCATGTGTTGATACTCTCACTAGGGAGAGTAACAACCTGCTCTACTGGCTAAGTATCTGATTAAGATTCACATGATGGAACCGCAGACGTTTTAGGATGGCGTGTCTCCTGGGCAAAGATGGTGAGTAGAGTTAAGTGTCAGACGGTGTTACATTGTCAGTGCAGAGCCTCTGCTTAATACATATCTCTGGAATATTCTCTGCACAAATGATCAGTACCACTCGGGTCAGCTTAGCAGGTTTATGAGTCGGCCTACAAGACTACATTTACAGACACGAGGGTCATGTGCAGGGAATCCTTGAAAGTAGAGACTGACCGATATGGGCTTTCTATTACCGATATCGATGCTGATAGGTAGAGGTCATATGTAGAGGTCATACCCCTACTTCGCACCGGAAGCATCAGCGGCACAGAACGGCTCTGCTCCAAATAGAGTCCATTATAGTCTATGTGGGGATTCAAACCAGCCTTGACATGGAAATTTGCAGGCACATCCCAGAAAGATAAAGATAGGATCGGATTCTATTTTTGCCACGAGCCGCTCCTGGGAGATGTCAGTTTCCGCAGTCAACATAGGGCTAGACTGGAAATCACACACAGTTTCAGCGGGAAACCTCGCGAGTCCAGCGAGGAGCACGGCAGAGAAGCTGCTGATATTCTCCCGGCATGTACCCGCACACAGCAAAAGTCGCGAGTAAAACGTTCCGCTCCACTGATGCCTCCAGTGGGAAGTAGGGGGAATGTTTTCATGGCTTTTTTATCAACTCGTTATTCTCAATTATAAATCTGTCTTTGTGTTTGTATTTCTCACAAATTTGCTAAACACATTTTTTTTAAAATAATCTAAATTACCTGCTGAAATACAATAGCCTCTTTTATAGGCACAAACTGTTAAAATCATGTTACTTATCACCTCATTAAGGTGCTGGAATACCTTAAAAAGTGGTTGAATTTGACTCTGGAGGAGGTCTAAGTGCCCTGTTGATGCCTTTCTCAGAATTGTATCTTTTTCCAAGGTTTTTCTTCTTCTGCTTACTGTGATGTAATTTGTTTATGGTTTGTTATAAGCCAGCGCACAGCTTCCCTCTGCCAGCTTGGCCTTGATCCACTGTAAACTGACAGTCAATTTTCCCTCTTGCTTTTTTGAAGAAGAATAATGACTTTTGAGGATTGTTTTTGAGCTATAATCTGTCAGAGACATTGCATTCTGTAATCAGTTTTATTCACTCCTTTTTAGTACAGCAGCAGATATGCTTCCAAACAACATGCTTATGCATTGTGTATTTATTTATTTTTATTGTTTTGATTGTTTTTCATTGGACTGGCCAAAAGTTTGGGGTCTTCTTTTGTTAATTAGAGCAACTTGATGTCTTCGGATGACATGTTTAGACTGCTGGGAGGCTAATTTAACCTTCATATCCTACAGAGACAAGCTGCTAATAGAATCTTTGCCTCTGTGATTTGTATTTGTGTCCAAACCAGAGCCCCATACCATCGCTGTATAATTATGCAGAACACTGGTGTAAACACAGATTTTAAAGCATGAAAACAGTCATATTCACACACAATCGTCTCTAATGCAAGCATCCCGTTAATTACAACAAACCCTCATTGTGATGGCATCTATTAGATCTTTGAAGTCATTCCTTAGAATAATAATCTAAACAACCTTTAATTCAGACAGAGCTCAGATGTAATTTGCATTTTGAAACAGGGTGAATGAGTAATTTTCCCTCCCATTTTCAGTGTTACCAAACCATCATCTGATTCCTGTGATGAACATATAATGTGTCATGCTTATTTTAATGACAACATTTTGGAAACTTGTAACCAAAACTAGTTCTTGGTCTATTTGTCATTTGTATTAGATTTGATTTTCTTACAGCTTTTTTTAGTACCAGTGATCAAAAGCTGCTCAGAAATCATGTTTTCTTCATTCTTATAGGGTAAAAAGCACCAGAGATTACTAATATTAGTTACTTGGCTATGTTTTTTTTTTCATTGTTTCATTAGGTGAGTCAGTGGTGAGCACATGCAATGAGGAAGTCGGTGTTTTTCATACATGGTTCCACTCAGACACGGGCTACTGTGACCTTATCTATTGTTTCTCAAGTGTATATTGTAAGCAGCTTTGGGGGCTTTAAAAAGACTTAGCCAACAGGGCTGCTGTTGCTCTAGTGGAACATTTGGGCCTCTGGCAAGTGTCAGATTTTCAGCTGCACATTAAATCTCTTAACCCAGTTCCCCCCCACCCCCCGTTCCTCTTTCTTTTCTTCCATCCCTCTGCTATGCTAACAAGCTGGCTGTGATTTATTTTTCATGTGTGGCATTGGTTGTCACTATTTTTTCCCTTCTTTATTCCTTGAGCCTCTAAACTCTTGTGCCAGCGGTTAGTCCGGTGCCCAGCCCCCCCCCCCCCCCCCCCCCCCCCCCCCTCCCCGAGGAGGCAGAGTGGAGAAGCAGCCAGAGCAGCTGCACATCACCCCGACTGGGCAAAGTCCTCCAGATGCACTGTCATGGGGAGGCCGGAGACGCTTTGATTGGCATGTTTGTCGTTACTGGCCGGCTTGAATGTCATGCACCACGAGCCCAGTTGTCTAATGCTTTGGCCGGCCAATGGGGCCACTCCCTTCAATCACCGATATGCCTGCCTGTTCCAGTTTGGAGGTGAGGAGGCCAGAGAGAGCGCCAAAGTACCAAACGGTCGTCCTCGGTAAATAAAAAGCAGGCATCTTTCTTTTTTGATGTTCTCTGTGTGCGTGCTTCACTTTCAGAAGCGGTGGCGCAATCACATTTGAAAGCATTTTGCGCTCCAAACACAACAGGGGAAGAGGGGTGGGGGGGGTGGCGAGAAGACCAATCAGAACAATAACTGTGGTTCCTTTTGACAAAGCCCTTGGCTCGCAGTTGTCAGAAGATGTAAGCTGACTCATCCACACAAGAAGGGCATGTATCCCTGGGAGCGAGGGGCAAAAAGCTATGATGAATCCTCCCCTCTGTGCTCGCCGCTCTCCACCGAGCCTGCATGGATTAATTACATGACTAGTAGCTAGTTTAGTCCCATTATTATTTTCCTCTTCTTATGAATAATTTCACTCTCTTCCTCTGCTTAGATTTTATTCTGCTCAGGACTTTTCAGCATCACACTGTGGAAATAAGAATGCATTGATTATTTTCCATCTAGCAAATATCCCACCAGCTGAGGAATAACATGCCTTCCCCCTAATTGGTTTGTTTATCTTGAGCAACAGACTCCGGGTTTATTTGGACTCTGGCTGGCATCCACACACGCCGCACTGCTCCTCGGCATGATTACTCACCTTGGGAGGAGGCTGCCGTGGCAAGGTTGATGTTCCCCACATAGACATCAGGCTGTCATTCTCGCTGCTTATGTGACATCATTTGCCAAGACAGATTTGTTACAGGAGGAATAAATTCAGACCTAAAAAAGGGATTGATTTAAGGACAGGCTGCAAGTGGGAAAAAAAAGACGGCAGGAGGGATGGGGGCTCGGAGACACATTTCACCACTCAGAGGGCTCGGGCCAGATCCAAATAAGCTGCCAACAGAAAGACAGATTCTGGCTTCATGTATAATTGATAAACTGTATGTTCTAGGTGTCAGCTTTAAAAGAGGGAGCTAGAACTATATCAGGAAGCTATTTTTCCTCTCTGAGACGAGCATCGTTTTTATTTTGTCCTCCCCCGTTCTCTGGCTTATCTGCTCAGTTCAGAAAGCCCCGTTGAAAATGATCATTTGCTTTGAAGACGACGTTTAGGAAGTGCAGCATTAAAAGCACATCCTGTTTCCGTGCCTATTAGGGGAGCTGGTGCAGGGCAGATAGCCATCTGCAAAGTTGACTGAACATCCCGCGTTATCAGGATTAGCCATCTCACTCTTGACACCTAGCACATTAATATTAGCTATGGGAGAGTC